ATATATATATATATATATATATATATATATATATATATGAAAGGTGATAGCATCTACGTGTCAACGCCACAATTAATCTCGAATTTTAATTTTTAAGTAATTAATTAATTATATAAAATTAATTAAATATTTTAATTGACAGAAAAAAATTACTGTTTTAAAAGAACGATGAAAAAAATTACTGTTTTAAAAGAACGATTAAAGATTTTTACCCTGATTGAAATTGTTTAGGTTTCTTTAAAAGACATGTTAGTTTTTTATTTTAATTTTTCAAAAAAAAATTAATTATATATTATGAACATCTTTTAATATATAAATAAAAAGAACGTTTCTATCTTATAATTGTTTTTGAATTTTCAGTTTTTAAATCAAATATTTAAATATTACGAAACTTCTTTTTTAAAAATAAATAAATAAAAAGACACATGCCCGACAAATCTTATTGTTTGTTTAAATTTGAAATTGTACATAATTTATTTTCCACCTTATATTTGTCGGTTTCTTAGTTTGTTTACAAATTGTACATAAATATAATTTTAAACTGATTGCCGAAACATTTTTTTTTAAAAAATACAAATTTTATCCACTTTCACACATTGCTAAAAAGTAGGATCCGATTAACTACTAATCAATTTATTTTGAATTTTAAATTTAAAAATACCCAATTAAAAAAAATTATCAGATTTGATGTATTAGTTATCCAAATATTCTAATAAAGTCTTAACTTTGAATCAAAATTGTCATTTCAAAATTTCAATAAAGTTTCGATTCTCCTACTTGTAATTTTTGAAATAAATTTAATTTTCATTTGACAAAGAACTCCTAAAAATCATTTTGTCCATGTAAGTTGCCTTACTTTCATATTTTTCTTTGTTCATCAAAACTGGATTGTAATTAACCTTCCTTTATGTGCGATTTTACTTCAATTCGTGTTTGAAATTATAACAACAAGGATCAACATTAGGGTAAAATCATGACTCCAAATGGATGCTCATAATATGGAAATGGGGCAACATTTTTAGAATTTTTCTAAAATATAATTTGAAAAGTTTAAAATCTCCTCGGAAGATAATTAAAATTATTTAATCATATTTGCTTCAAATCAAGAGAAGAAGAAGAAAACAAAATTTTAATAAAATAAAAATTAAAGTGACTATTTGTTCAAATATGAATTACTTCTTAATTTTGAATTTCAATAATAAAGGAAATCATCTACTCATTTAGCCATTGATTCCTCCGTTCTATAAATAGGTCTTCTTTTTTCAAGAGAAAAATTATTAATTTTGTTAGAATTTTCTTTGACTCAGGTTTTATAAATTGGTAAAAGTAGAATTTTAATTGGTCGGAATATTTCCTCTAAGTTATAAATTTTGTTGAATATTAATTTTGATTCTCTTTATGAAATAAAGACTTTATGATGATTGAACTTTACATGAATAACAATCATGATTGCTTTGAAGGTAATACCGACAAAGAAATATAAAAATATAATTTAATTTTTAAAAATAATTTTTTTATCAATTTGATTATGAATTAATAAGAAGAAATCAAATCTCATTTCAATAATCAAAATTAAAATAGATAAAAGATCAAAATCTATTTTGATTTGATTTGATTTAAAGTATAATAAAAAAAATTACTCAAAGATCACATTAATATATTGCTTTTCTACTTCTAGAAAATAGTAATCGACCGTTTGCCTATTAAAATGTTTAATTAATTTTTTTAAAAGAATAAAAAGTGAAAAAAAAATAATTATGAAAACTAGATTCATCTTGTATCATATTATACATAATGGTTATTTTAAGTTCCCGTTAATTTAAGTTAATTTTTTATTTTTTTAAAAATCATTACATAAATAATTACTTAATAATTATTATTTAAATTAATTTAGTTTTAAACATTATTTTCCAATGCATAGATAAACCTTTAATTATATTATTAATTAAATTAAATAATTGGTTTTATTAGCCGAACTTTTAAACTAAATAAAAAATATAAATAAACATTAAATGTCCTGCCATAATTGAAACACTTAAAAATATTTATTAACATTTATATAATATTTGTTTATTCTTATCATACTAATATATTTGTTTATGCTAATTAGTTTTAAAAGAAGTCCCTTGATAAATTTTATATATAATAATACGATAATTAAAAGAAAAAAACAGTTCAGATCTCCCATTACCCATGTAGTAGTATCTAGTCCTAAAAACTTATGAAAACCTATGCGATAACTTTTCATTTTCTCATTAGCTATCTTAAATTAATATTTTAAAAATTCAAATAAATAATTATGATTATTTTAAATAATATCAAATTACAAAAATAGCATTATTTTCGTCTT